TTTCCCCCCCCCCCCCAAAGTCCTACAGAAAGCCACTAGTGTTTATTAACACTTGATGAGTCTAACTGTATGCAAATAGTTCAGCTGCAAAATGGCACAGAGGAGGTTTCCAAATCTCTCTCAAAATACAGTTCTTAAACTTATATAAAACTTTTCTTCACCTAGATATCTCAAAACACTTTATTAAAATGTGTCAGCATCTTTATCTCAAGATGGGGAAAATGAAGGCAAAGAGGTGAAGTAATCTGCCCAAGATCACCCCTCAAGGGACATGTCAGACCGAATGAAACCAAGACCTTCAAATCCCAGCCTAAAGCTGTAGTCATTAAGAAACACTGACTCTCACTAGTCAATTTTTTAAACTTCACTGGGTAGGCAGGATTACCAGCGAACCTACTGGTCATGCTGTGGAGTCTCCCAGATTAGACACCTGTCAGCTCTATCATACAGAACTGTGCTTTCTGGAGATCCAAGGGCAAAGAGCTGTCCTACCAGAATCTTGGAAGGAGTCTGTGAAAAAAAGCTCCAACATAATTAGCTTGCTTTCTTACAAATCTATACATTTTAGACATAGTAGTCAAAAGAAAGAGAGGACACTGAGAAATAAAGAAGTCCTCTTCCCCTGTAAAAAGATTTATTGTGTTTCTCCTCTGTTTTAACATGTAAAAAACTGACAGAGAATGGCTTTTAACATGCATGTTCTTACTCTAGGAATTGTCAGTACTGCCATGTAAAATTTGTCTACATCTATTCAAGATAAAATAAAAGTAATAGATTGTTCTGGGGGGAAGAGGGGTCAAAAGGACCAGAAATACACTCTGTATGCTGTCCAGGTAGCACGTGGTAGAATCTGGTTTACCACAAGATTTAGGTAACTGTAACCAGCATAGTTCTGGTCCCAATGCTAACCATCACCTAGGAAAATTATATCTAAAATGTGAATAGCTTTCAAATTGCCAACTGAGAGAGGTACAACAGGAAGCATAGTTAAGTCATCCTCTGAGCAGGGGTTAGTCCCGTGGACTATGGTCTCTATCACAATACTGTGAATGCAAGTACTCTGAACATTGCCACCAAAAACACCAAGATGCAACTAAGCTAAGCTTACGGAACTGGTTTATATGAGACATACAAGAAGTAGGCAGGTCTCTGCAGAATCCAAAAAACTTAGACAGCCCCCCACCAATATGAATAGCTAATCATCGTGTCCATGGCTATGAAGAACTCTTGTCCTAAGAGTTGCCATTCTATCATGTTGTGATAATTAAACACTTCTGTAGGGAAGATGCAGGAATGCTGCTCCGTAAAATACACGGAAAGGGAAGTAGACTTTCAAACTAAGGTTCCTAGTCCTTCAAAGTGTTAATTTAGCCCTTTTAAAAGGGCATACGTTCACCTTTAAACATGCCTCCACTTTGACTACTCTTCCCACTGGTGAGCTGCACTCTCTCTCACTGCTCAGATCCTCCTTTTCCTAATTAGGCAATGAAACTACAGATCTGCCAACACTGAACAGCGGTAGGCAATACCTCAGCTACCCCTACAGTCTTAGTCACCATATGTCTGGGCTGACTCCCTGTGCTAGCACTTCCCTTTATGCCACATCTAACCCCTCATTTCTGAAAATCTGTCTGGTCATATTGTGTCAATACCACCACGTTAAAGAGGTAAGAGCTGTCTTCTATAATTAGCTGTTCTCCATGGCTGTGAAAAGAAAAAAAAGTTGTAAACACAGACAGGCAAAGCTATTTAGAGGACAGTTCTCACCTGCGTGAGTGCAGAACACTCCACATATTTGACAGCTTTCAGGTCCCGGGCCAACTTTTCAGCAGTCTCTGGAGTTATAGGCTTCTGCTTGTTCTTGGCAAGTTTCTCAATTGTTGAGGGATCATCTCTGAGATCAATCTGGGTCCCAACAAGCAGGAAAGGAGTCTTTGGACAATGATGAGTAATTTCAGGTACCCACTAAAGGAGACAAAGAACATATTGGTTATAATGTTAATACCCGACGTGATTTCACGGTTATTGCCAAAGCTGCGTACTAGCCCCATTTGGGGCAAATATGTGCAACTAACCTTTTCTTTCACATTTTCAAATGAAGAGGGAGAAACCACTGAAAAACAGACCAGAAACACATCTGTCTGTGGATAGCTGAGGGGTCGTAATCTATCATAATCTTCTTGTCCTAGAAAGGAAAAAAAAACCGAACAGGCACAGTGTTAGAAGGGGAATCCTTCAAAAGCTGCTCCAGGATGATAGCTTTTCAGTCAGACAACAATGTACCCTATTTGCATCTGTAAGGACTTACATAACCAGTCAGTATTCCACTAGAGAGACCCCATACTAAGTAACCAACCATTAAACAAATACAGCCACCACAAATGCAAATGTTAAAGAAGCCCCATATATACACTTAGTTTTCAAATACGTGACAGATGAACAAAAATCGTCTGCCCCCATTCCATGTAACGCATGTCAGCAAAACAATCTTGATTTTGTCCTTGGAATGATGCAAGCAGAACATGGGGGGTAGGATGATAAAATACCATCATCATCAACACTGCACATACTATCCACAAAAGTATCGATAATAAATGGCCTCAACTACATAACATTTCCCTCTGCCAGAATTGCCTAACTGGAACAACACAAGATTTTTTTTTTTTTTTTTTGGTAACAGGCAATAGCATCCTGGAAAACATTTAGCAAAAATCCCTGTGACTAATGCACACTTCTAACATCCAGGGCAGTCTAAAAGAGAGACTGAAAAAAGCAGCGTGAAGAGTACTCATACCATGAATGTCTTAAAGCTGCACTTGTCATAAGGTGCAGAATGAATATCTTTATAATTAGAAAACGGAAAGACTATGCAAGAGGAGAATACTGTAACAGAGACTATAGGAGGAGTAGTTAGGACTCCCTTTATTGGATCTATATCCGATGACAGCACCACCTAAAAGAAGCCCAAAGAAGGGCTGGGGTAAAGAGTACTCCAAAGAAAGCATGCAAGATTCTCTCTTTCATGACTGTGGTCCCCTCGCTGCAGGGCAATCGTGGTAGACTGTGACCACAGGGTCTGTAAATGCAGAAGCTGGATGCTTCCTCCAACTTCATTCACTACTTTTATTTTTATAATCAACCCTTGACAGTCAAGGAGCACTTACAAGTCAACTGCTTTATTCACAGGTAGCCAATTCAAAGATCTCATCTTATAAGTTCAAGAGACTTATTCTCACAAAAAGCTCCTGTTGGTTGGTAGGGCAGGGGCAAGGCCTACAGGTAGCTCTGTCATTAGAGATGCTATCAGAGCCTAACAAGAGGAAGGAAATCTTCATGTCAAATGTTTTCCATCACACTTTGCTAGAAGTCACAATATAAGCAGTGCTTGCTTGAATGATGGTCACAGTTGACAACAAGAGTTAGTTTCTCCTAATTCTGCTTCCTGCTATTATGGATGAACTCCCTCCCATAAGAGGAAACTGTCTAGTTCTAAATAAACCATTACAACTGTCAGCCTAGAACTAGCCAAAGCCTGTAATTATTCCTGCACAAGTGACAGGTGCTGACTGTGCGACTGTATTGACTAGTGCGTACTGACTTAATGAGATGAAGGGCCATTGAAAATCAGGATCCATCACTGCAAAAATATTCTGACTCCTAGAAGGCAAGCTTACATGTCTGATGTTTTAAGAATTTTTTTTAACTATGCAAGTAGAAGACTTAAAGAACTTATTTAGTCTGAAAAGTTACTGCACTCACAGATTCTGAAGTAGATGAAAGCACCTGGTTATCCCTAAACAGCAAATATATTCATCAGTCAACCAACGTGGAACTATACTTAATGGCAAAAAAAAGAGAGGGGTCTCCAAAGGCCTACTGAGAACTGAAACATGTAGGAGTTCAAACAAGGACATCAAAGTTCTTAAAACAAAACTATTTAAAGTCTCAGAGGAAGTATTTTCTATACCAATTTCAACAACTCCAAGTCTATCACATTACTCATCCCTCAAGATATCCACAGATTAATCTTACAATGTTTGTAGCATTAACAGACTGCAACATGCCTTTCCCTTAAACCAACCTAAATGCATAGAGAACTCATTTCTCCTCCAGAGTTGCTAGTGGTGCAGTAACTTAAGAGAGTCCCCACTGCTCTGAATCCCTCCTTCTCCCCTCCGAGCTCAGTGGCACATCCCCTCCTGTCCTGTTTTCCCCCTACCACCTCCCCCCACCCCTTGATGCAGGAAACCTGCCCACCGTTGCTGCTGTCCTCATCTGACTTGGGTGCACGGAGCCCCAGAGCCACTCCTGCCACACTCCAGATGGGACTATGGGGACTGGCTGTGCAGGGGAGCCAGGCTCAGTCATGGACAGTGGCAGGCAGGTTCCCCCTCCCTGCCCAATTCTTCCTGATGTTCCTTGTTAGTCTAGGAGCCAGCACAGGGAGCGAGAGCCTCCTACCACTACTGCTATCCCAGCAGCTCCTGTTCAAAATCCTGGATCAACCTACGATTGTGACCTGAAATTTGTTTTGGGTTTCACTGGCTAAACTGTTGATTTAAAACTTAGTAATTCCTCACAGCTCAATATCTATTTACAAACCAAAATAACTTTCCTCTAGTCCTCCCAAGATTTGCCTAACCTAAAGTGAGATCATAAGACTATTATCTTCTTTAAAAAAAACCTGTTTTAAAAGTACGTAGATGGGACTTAAAAAAAAAAGACTGAATTTTTTTTTAGTGGCCAAATTCCATTCTTATATACAAATAAGACCCACTCCCCTACACCCACTTAATCTAGGCAAGTCCCCAGAGAGCCACCAAAAAGCAAGGACAAAAAGCATTTGGCATTCGTTTGGTAAACAGTCTAGACACCGTTTAGAACCTCGTCAAACATCCACCAGAGAGAATACAGCCCCCTGCCCTGTGTGTGTGTGGGGCCACGCATGCATGCAGGTGCAAATGTATGGGGGCGGGGCCAGGGGGTGGTTAATGGGGAAGAAAAGGGAAACTTCTGAAGACCACTTCAAAAAAAAAAAAAGGCTGGGAAAGCAGTTACTAAACAAAGTGTGTCACTGAGAACTGTATTATGAGCACTATTAGATTTTTCCCTCTACAAGGAACTGACCAACACACAGCTTGTGTAATTAGTAGCCCAAATTCACACAACTGAATGTCGTAATGCGGTGCGATAACTGAATGTCGTAATGCGGTGCGATTACTGAAAGATGAAACTTCTCACCTGCTGTATCAAACAGGCCTAGGGTGTATGGCTCCCCACCAATCATCACTGTAACAGCATAGTTATCAAACACCTAAAGGAGAAGGGGGGGAACATTTAAATTAGTTTTCAGAGCAAGGGGAAGTCATTTCTGTCCAACACTGATCATCCTACTTACTTTGTCAGACCCCCTCAATTCGTGCCAGGATTATTAAAGCAGGCTACTGGCATACTTTCCAGATACCCGTTTACATAAAGGTCCCTGAAGCCTGCAATAGTCTAGTCAACACATGGAATGTGAAGAATTCTAGAGAATCCAATATGAAGACAAATTATAATTGAAAATTATATTGAAAATTTGTTCCAATTTGGGTAATGCCTTAGAAGTAAGGCTTTCAAGATCTTATCAAGGCTGGTTCACGTTACAGATCTGGAAATCAAATGAGAATAGAGAACCCGATTTCACTTTAACGCAAGGGGCAGGAGTAAGAGGGCAGCAAAAATAACCCTTAAGACAAACAAAGTGAGCGAAAGACACCCCACACATTTCAAGTCTCATCTCAAAATTAAAACCTTTCATTTGACCTGAAAGGAAAAAAGTTAAGAACTTTTAGCTTCATTCAAAATTAAATGTGTTATTTACCGTTATCTACAACAACAGAGGGGCAAGGGGAAGGGAGAGAGGATTTGAGAGTCTAAATGAACACTGGGTCTTCCAGAACAGTGCAGTGTAGCGTGCCTCCCTACAAGTTTCGGAGACTGTGGGCTTCATCCCTTCAGAGCATCTAGGATTTCCTGTAGACAGAGTTAGGGGAGTGAAGGTAATTTCTTAAATTATTCCTGGACTGCTACCACCTGAGCTATTTTAACATCCACGTAGGATAGGTGGAAGTGTACACAATTTATTTAAGGTTCAGTTAAATGATACAGAGCATCAACGTGACATTGTCATCAAGAAAGCGTTTTGAGGCATGTACAGGAATGAAGCCAAACCAAGAAATGAGCTGTCCAATACTATTTGTTCTTTAAGGAAAACTTTTATTATGTCAAAATCTATTATCTATAGGAAGGCTCTCAAACTCTAGAGCTGCCCTTCAAAAAACACACATCCTTCATCGGAAAGAATACAGGTTTTCACCAGCTTAATACCAGCAGGGCCAAACTCTGAAACAAGTATCACACTGATCCTTGCTCAGATGAGCCAGGGGTCTACAGAAGGGAGAGACTGGCAGCTGTGAGAGGGTTAAAACTGCAGCTTTTGCCTGAAGAGCACCGGTCAGGATTTAGCCGTGACTCAGTGTGGGGAGAAGGGTGGAAAATCTTTATTCCTTCATTCTGCCTTCCTGAAACAAAGTGAGTCTTATTCAGGGGTGCATGGTATGCAAAGAAAATACAGTGAATGCACACCCCCATCCAAAAATAGAATACAGAAAATTACTACAGAAAGGTGGGGTATTAGCAGGACTGTGTCACAAGTTTAAGTCTTGAAAAATCTCTCATCAAATAGCAGGTCTTGAGATTAATAAAATGGAGATAGCTTTGAAGCTCAGTCCAGTTCAGTTTAACTTTCCATTCTTTTCCAGTTTGCCTGTATCTGCTCTAGATGCTACAGGTCACCTTGGAACCAGTCTCTCACTCCTTCAAGTAAGAGTCCTGTTTTGAAATCGGGCTTCAGTTGACAGTGCTAATCGGGAAACTTCAATTTTAGTGCCTCTTGCTGTTATTTTGACAGATGAATTTAGTTATTGGATACCATTCTAAATGCAGGTCTTACATGTGTGCAATGTAAAAAAGGCACAAGGAGGAGAAGAGGCTGGTGAACAAGATTCCCAGTGCAACTCGCTGACACTTTACGTGTTATAAACCTGCACCCCTAGTCCCAGAAATCCTTAAGGTTTTGAAGGCCCAGAGGCTTAGGGTGCCTGCCTTTTTTACTGCTCAGTACAGCTTCAGAAGCTTATGTGCTCTTTGAATTTTCTCCAGCTAGAGACACAGTGAATAAAACTGAAGAGGTGCCAAGACAGGTACCTCTGAGGCAGTACTGTAACTAAGGGTGGGCAAGAGGGGCACTCACCTCAAGTGCCAAGGTAGGAGGGGTGCCACAATCACCCCCACCCCAGAGAGTCTGTGTCCCCAAAGAATTGCTATGCCAGGAACTCCAAAACACTTTCCAGCTGCTGTTACTTTAAGAATAACAGAGCTGAGGCAGACAGAGCACACACCACAGCAGTGGCTCATCCCATATTCCTTAGAGTTCCCACCTAGGCAAGACGACTTACCCTCCCTACCCCTCACAGGATTTGCCCCAGGTACCAGCTCAGCTTGTTATGCTACTACTGTGCGGCTTCAAAAAAATATCTCCCGTTTCCTGGCCAGTCACTTCTTTGACTGGCCCTTTATGAACAAGCCCTAAGGCTCTAAAACTTAACCCTATGCTGGTAATGCAGAGACACAACAGTGTATAGACCAAACTAGTCAAGCTTAGAACATGATCTGTTAGAAGAGCAGTTGATGCTCTAGTCTGTCCACTGACAGCTGTCCAGGAAGATCTGGGTGGGCAGCATTCCCAAAGGCACCATTTCAAGAACACTCCAATCTGGGAATGGGAAGAGACAACTTTTAAGCCATCATGTTTTCAGCCCACAGGCTCCTGCTGCTCATTCCCACTTAAAAAAGGGGAAACAGTTTGGAGTCTTACTCACAGAACCCAACTGGTTGTCAACAGACGCTCAGGTTTGGAGAGATGGCCAGCCAACAGAAACAGACAAGTTATCAAAACGGTCTCTCTCAGAAATGCACAGAAAGAGTAAAAGCAAAATACACCCTAAGCTAAGTTTGTTCACGTTTTCCAGGAGATGGCAGATACTAGTTTCAAGCAGAAATGGAAGGAAAAAGAAGCTACTCATAAAAGGTCTGGTAGGACACAAAATAAAAGGTAGATGATCAAGCTAACTACCCAGAATTTTTCCTTCCCCATACCCAAAACACAATTAGAAAGAGTCCTTTATACTCACCGTTGGTACATATTCCGATGGAAATTTGTTTGTTGTATAAGAAATTAAGAGACATGTTTTACCAACAGCACCATCACCCACGACCACACACTTAATTGTCTGCATAGCTGGAGTTGGTTAGTCTATCCAGGCCAATAAGAACCTAAGGGATTACAAAAAAAGAGAGATTAAGATCCTTGCTTGCTTTCTTTCTTACTGGAAAGCATTATGTATAATTATTACCCCAATTTTAATTAAAACATAACTAGCTTCAAATGCTGTAGCCTTCTAGCAGTCAAGATAACCAATTTATTCTTCAAACTTCATGCACGCCTCAATCCGGTCAGAAGAAAAACAAGCAAACAGCATAGACCAGGGCTCCCAAAGTGCAGGTCCCTCTGAAATGGACCTTCAGGGCCAAAGCTCTGGGAACCCCTGGTATGGACAGATAACAACTGCATCCTTATCAAAGGACACTGATACACGCTGTTACAGTGCAAATGTTGTATTGCTACAGAATCCTGCAGGTGTAAATGTGTCAGAAATGTTCCAACTTCAACTCTCCATTCACTCCAGGTCAGAGTTGAGGCAACTTAACTGAAGTGTACTGTTAGTAAGATTTATTCATTAGACGTATATCCCACAATATCCAAAAGGCTTAGAGCACTTGGCCTTCCACAGTTAAACAAAATCATCTCTCAGCAAGGTAGGCAATTACTCTTTTCTGAAGTAGTTTTATATCCACTGTTTAGCTACTTATTTTACCATCTAATTGCTACTGATCAAACTGCAAGTTAAGCTTATCTACCAAAAGACAAGCCAAACACTCTCATAAATCCAAGCATACTGCGTTTCCTCCTGCTCCTCTCCCTCATCCATGTCATCCCCAGCTTGGCAGCACCGCTGAGAATCCGCAAGAAGGAAGTTAACTGCTGTAATTCCTAGCATGTCTATTAAGAAAACAACTACTACCGGTGTATAGGGTTAGATACCAATTCCAGTTGCAGTCTTTGTTACAGTTTTTTGCAGAGTGCTAAAGACAAGGTTTTTTCAACTTAATATTGCATGACTGTGTACCCGGGTGTCCTGTATTAAACAAGTATAAGAAAGTAAGTACTAGATTAAAAATAAAAACATTCAGTGAATTGCTTAACCCTTTCGGTGCATTTTCCAAGGAGTCTTAATGGAAAAATACTTAAGACAAGCAAGTGTACAAACAATAGAAGCACGAGTTCTGAATATGAATGTAGCTTTTTTATGGTATGCACATTAATGCCCGACCAACTCACCTAGCTGGACTACTGAGCTAACAAGATTTTAAAAACTGCACTTAAGAATAGCTCATCTTGAATGTTAAGTAACAACCTGAATTTCCCAGGGTCGGTGGGAAATACTGTGCAGCTGAAATTCCATAGGGATTACATTCCCCAGAAGTCATGTTCCCTAGAGAGATCACAAAATTCATGAGAAGCCACTGGCTTTATACATTCCAGTGACTCAACACACTTAGTCTAAATGGCACAAGCCTCACATCCTGGGCTAGGCTAACCCCAGTGAAGTCAGTGCTAAAACTCCCACTGATTTCACTATTACCTGGATGCCACTCCACCTACATGCCATTGCAAGTGTCTTGTTGCCAAAGCACTGACGAGCACTTGGAGACTCACGTCCAAGCTCTAACTCTATCACACGGCACAAGTCGCTCGATCTCTCAGTTCCACGTCACTACAGTAAATAGATGAGGACACAACTATAGTTCAAACTGGGGCAGGGGGATGGGGGACACTTGGCACTAGTCACTTTTCAAAAGTACAGTAAACCTTTTTAAAAATATATTTAACTAACTGCTTCTCAAAATTATGCCCTATAAAAATTCAGCAGTTATTCTCAGGATGCACAAGAAGCGTTTTAGTTAAACCCTTTTCTGTATAAAGTCCAAGCAGGATGAACAGAGAATGCATGTCTAAACAAACCATTTCTAGCTAAAGGCACCCATTGAAATGTTATGCTCTGGTCAACATTTCAAAGCAAGATAATTGTTAACAAGGTGGAACAAGCCATTTTCCCTTTGCCTTTGAAAACAACTGCATACTTCTGCAGCAGTTGTTGGAGAAAGATCTCAGTTTTCAGAAAAAATAATTCTCAACAGCAGTTAAAAAGTAGTACCTTCAATACCTATCGCAGTCGTTTCTCCTGTGCCTCAGTCATGGGTCAGCAACAACTAAAACAACTTTAAATCTTACTGAGAAAGTATCTTACCACCATGACCTAAAGCAGTATCTGCTATTTCCTGTACTGATGACACTGCCATTTATACAGCTCTTTTCACCTAAGTGCAGCCCTTTACTCTATCTACCATGCCTACATAAATCCTTCACAATCGCAGTCCCCCAATCTGTACTATACATCAACATCATCATCTTTTGATGAAAGAACAAGAGGTAATTTCATTTTTTATCACTATTTTAAAAAGAGACTAAGTGTAATCAATAGTCTCATCTGAAACCTGCCTCTCCTTTCCACTCAGAAAGCAATTAATACTTCTAAAAATGAAATTAATTTCTCCAACCACAGCCACTAATATGGCCACCTGATGTTGATTTCATACAACATTGACGTTAAGTGCTTATGGACTGTTAAAATAAAGATTGCTAGCACAAATGCTAGATAGATAGCTAGATAACCTGGTAGAGCATCAGGTCCAACCCCCTGCACCAGGCAGGAAAGAACGCTGGGGTTAGGTAACCCCAGACAGATCCCTGTCTAAATCTCCTCTTGACCACCTCCCTTGGGAGCCCATTCCACATTTTGGCAACCCTTACTGCAAACAGTTTCTTCCTTATGTCCAATCTAAATCTGTTTTCTTCAGTTTGTGGCCATTATTTCTGGTAACCCTGTGAGGCACCCTGGCAAACAGAGTGTTCCCTATTCCCTGCTGGCCCCCCGATGAGTTTGTACGCAGCCACAAGATTGCCTCTCAGCCTTCTCTTGTGGAGGCTGAAGAGATTCAGATCCCTCAGTCTGTCTTCTTAGGGTCTTACCTGCAGGCCCTCAACCATATGAGTAGCCCCTCTCAGAACCCTCTCAGTTATCCACATCCCTCTAGAAGCGCTGCGCCCAAAACTGGATGCAGTACTCCATCTGTAGCCTCACCCACGCCACATGGAAGGGAATTATCACTTCCCCAGCCCTGCTCAAGATGCTCCTGCTGATGCAAGAAAGAGTGCAGTTAGCCTTGCTTATGGCAAAAATGAACATGAGTCCCCAGTGCGATGAGGCATCAACCAGGACTCTCTTTCCACTGTTGTGGTTCTCAGACTGCCTCCCCCCCGCCCCAGTCTGTAGGTGTGTTGGAGATTCTCTCCCCAGGTACAGCACCTTGCATTTATCCTTGTTGAACTGCATCCTATTCTGATTTGCCCACTTCCCCAGTCTGTCCAAATCTGCCTGAATTCGCTCCCTGCCTTCCAGTGTGCTTACTATGCCCCATAGTTTAGTGTCATCTGCACATTTGGACAAGGTGCTTTCAACACCTTCATCCAAATCGTTGATGAAGATATTAAACAGTACTGGTCCAAGGACAGAGCCTTGGGAGACACCACTGCCCACATGCCTCCAGGGAGAAACCGCCCCATCCACCACCACTCTCTGGGTACACCCCATAAGCCAGTTTTTCACCCACCTGTGAAAAAAATCCATATCACAGCTACTCAGTTTACTCGTAAGAATTGGGTGTGACAGTGTCAAAATTCTTTTTAAAATCCAGGTACATGATATCTACTTCCTCCCCTGCATCTAAGCACTATGTGACCTGGTCATAAAGAGAGACCAGGTTAGTCAGGCAGGATCTGCCTGCTATAAACCCATGCTGGTTGCCCCTCACCATTGTGTTACCCACTGGTCCCCTGCAAATGTGATCCTTTACGATTTTTTCTAAGGTTTTGCCGAGAACAGAGGTGAGGCTAACAGGCCTATAATTACCTGGGTCCTCCTTCCTCCCCTTCTTAAAGATAGGGACCACACTGGCCCTTTTCCAGTCCTCTGGGACCTGTCCCGAATGCCACAAGTGCTCAAACAGCTGCGCTGTTTTATCTTTTGCTCATGGCTATTTACCTACCTGTCTCTATCCTCCTTGTAGCAGGTTTGTCTAACCCATATGTCTCCTATTTAAGTGATGGTCATGTGGAACTTTGTCAAAAGGCCTGCCAAAATCTGGATACACTATATCCATAGCACTCCCTTTATCCACCCAACTAGTTATCATGTCAAAGAAGACGATCAAGTTTGCCCCACATGCTGACTGCTCTTTGATCACCCTTTCCTTCTCTAGATGCTTGCAGAGGGACTTCCTTAGGATATGCTCCAGCAACTACCTGGGCACAGAGGTGAGGCTAACTGGTCTATAGCTCCCCAGCCCTCTCTTTTGCCACAACTTTGTAAAATATGATTGCCAAGGGCTCAGATCTCCTCTGCCAACTCCTTCAGTACCCTAGGATGAAGTTCATCAGGCCCCGCAAACCTAAATTCATTCAAATCCTCAAAAACTCTGACCGTTACTTCTGTTAGCACATTTCTCAGCGTGTCCCCTTCCCTAACAAAATAATCCTTTTAGCTGTCTGGTTGCATCCTACTCTGTGAAGACTGGGGCATAGTAGCTGTTGAACAGCTCTGCTCTCTTTGCACGTTCTGTATATTGAGCCCACAGCTTCCCTGGTTGTTCTTTTCTAGCCAAGATATTTACAGAGCTTCTTGTTGTCCTTAACTTGCCTTGCCGGGTAAAGTTCGCTTTTTATCTTTGCCTTCCTGATTTTGTCTCTGCAAGTTCTTGCCATTTGCTGGTATGCTTCCTGGGTGAGTCACCCATCTTTCTGTAGCTTGTATGCTTTTCTTATGCATTCAAGGCATCCTAGAAGCTCTTTGTGCAGCCACATTGGTCTCTTGCCGCTCTTCTTGCCTTTCCATCATGTCAGATGAGCTTTTTGTTGGGCTTCCAATCCTGTGCTCTTTTGAAGCTTCCCTGGGCACTTTCTTCCTTCTGCCCGTCCTCCCATGGCACCACGCCTACCATTTCTACTCTCCTTAAGTCGGCTGAAATCCATCTTTTTGCGGACTCGTATGTTTAAGTTTAAACGTCTTGTTTTTAGGTTAAAAACATACACATCT